CGGGGCACCGGTACCCGGGAGCAGGGACGCCGTGAGGCCCGCCCCCGCTGAGCTTTCATTGGATAGACCTCTCTCCCAAGGTGTTCATTGGTTAGTCGCGCGGCCCAATCGTCGCTCAGAGTCAGTGAGCATGCGCAAAAGCTCGGCTTGGGGGCCGGTCTCCGGGTGGCGCGCAGACGTGCGCTTGCGGGGGCAGGGGCCCAAAAAAAAAAAAAAAAGGCGGAAGCGGAAGTCGGGGGGCGCGTCAGCTCCGAAAGAGGGAGCGCCCGCGGCGTCGGTCCGGAGAGGGGTCGCCATGGGGCGAGGCAGCGGCACCTTCGAGCGTCTCCTAGGTAACGCGTCCGCCCGCCCGCTCGCCGTCCGCTCCCTCGCGCACCCGCCAGGCGCGGTCTCCTCGGGTCTCAGGGGAGCGGCCCGGCCGCTCTGCCCGGCCGCCCGGCTCCCAGAGCGAGCCCGACCCGGTTCCCGGGCCTCGGGTGTGGCCTCCGCGGCTGTGCATCACGTCCCGGGTCCAGGGAGGAATGCTCTTGGGGAGTCCGCGATGGGCCTGGCTTCCTCCGGGTCCGGCGGCCCTGAACCGATTGGGCCAAAGTCCTGAGTCATGAAGTGTGTGACTCAGATCTTAGCTTCATGCGGGGCGTTTGACCCTAATACCTGCTCGCAGGGTGTGGGATCCATGCTCCCCCCCTTGGGGACGGCTTCCTAGGACCCCAGCCCGCCCCGCCCTGTGCATCCCTTGGCTCTGGAACTGTCCCAGGGTTTTTGAAGACGTTTTCTCTGGTTGTCAAAGGTGCTTGTTGATCCTACTTGTGCCTTCTGGAGAGCGAAAATTTTAGGAGGGAAAATGGGTTTGCCACGCACGCCCCATTTCCTCAATAAAAATGTAGTGTGTCCAGGAGCAAGCGCCGGGGGGGGGGGCACCATGGTCTGCTCATTTGCTTCTTCCTGAACTAAAGGTTTTCAAAGGGGATCTTAGATGAAGCGTTTTCCTTATTCTCACTTCTATATAATCTGCTGAATCAGAACCAAGTTGGTGTGCCTTGGGATGGCTCGTTCTTTTTGGGGGGAGTGGGGAGTCGAGACAGGGTTTCTCTGTGGCTTTGGAGGCTGCCCTGGATCTAGCTCTTGTAGATCAGGCTGGCCTCGAACTCACAGAGATCTGCCTAACTCACCCTCCAGAGTGTTGGGATTAAAGGCATGCGGGATGGCTCATTCTTGTGGAAGAGGTGCTAAGGATGTGAAGTGTTAGCTGGGGAATCCCTGGATGTTGGTTTCCAACCCTCCACTAGAATGGAGAAGTCATGATCCCTCATCTCTCTAGCACTTGCCCGGCTAAGAGCAAGGGCAAAACATCTAGATGGTGGGACTCTGAGAGTCAGGTGAAGCCGTTGAGAAGCAGCAGTGCCTGGCGTTTGAGAATGCCCAGCAAGCTGTGATACAGGGCATTTACTTCCCTCGACTTTATCTCTAAAGGGGATGGAGGTAGTGCCTGTCTCATGAGGCCCCGTGGGAACTGAGTGAGTTCAGAGTTTGAAATGACTGCCGATATGGAGCAGGCACAGCAGCCATTCTTCTCAGTGATTTTCACATGATTTGCCTCCTGCACGGGAGGACGCCATTTCCACGCTTGCCAATGTGCTTCAAGCGGATTTTCTGTTCAGTTCAACGGTTTAAAAAGAGGGAAATTAGACAGGTGGTGGTGGCACATGCCTTTGATTCCAGCACTCAGGAGGCAGAAGCAAGCAGATTTCTGTGATCCAGCCTGGTCTACAGAGCTACACAGAGACCCTGTCTTGAAAAGAAGAAAAGAAAAGAAAAAAGGGGAATTGTTAATCCGGGAGCCACCTAGGAAATATAGCACAATGGGCCCCTTGAGTGACAGACATCTCTCCTCTTTAGACAAAGCCACCAGCCAGCTTCTACTAGAGACAGACTGGGAGTCTATTCTACAGATCTGTGACCTGATTCGTCAAGGGGACACACAGTAAGTGAGGAGGGCCTGTCCTGTAAAGCAAGGGGTGCCCACTCTTCCAAGATGAAGTTGAGCACAAGAGTTCTTTACATGGATAATTAATCGTCTGGTGTACATTCTGGGTGTTTTGGTATCTTGGGACAATTGGAGCTGTACAGTTTGGAGATACTTAGAGTCTGAAGGACCAAGATGGTGTGTGAAAGGCTGGGCATATATTTCAGTTGGTAGAGTACTTACCTAGCATGTATAAAACCTTGGGTTTTGGCTGGGCGTTTGTGGCGCTCACCTTTAATCCCAGCACTCAGGAGGCAGAGGCAGATAGATCTCTCTGAGTTCCAGACCAGCCTGGTCTACAGACTTCCAGGTCTACAGAGTTCCAGGACAGCCTCCAGAACAATACAGAGAAACCCTGTCTGGAAAAAAGCAAAACAAAAACAAAAAAACCTTGAGTTTCATCCCTAACACAGCATAAAACCAAGCACGATGGCACTGCCTGTAGTCACAGCACTTGGGAAGTAAAGGCAGGAGGATAAGAAGTCCACGGTCTTCCTTAGCTACACATTGAGTTGGGGGCCAGCCTGGGCTACATGAAACCCTGTCTCAAAAAATCCCCAGATAAATGGTGGAGATCTTTCCTCACCTTACTGAGGTGTGCCCGCCCCCCCCCCCCCCCCCCCCCCCGCTTTTTCTTATTTTCCCCTCTCAGAGCAAAATACGCTGTCAGTTCCATCAAGAAGAAGGTTAATGACAAGAACCCACACGTGGCTCTGTACGCTCTGGAGGTGTGTGGAGCCCGCTGCAGTCCCTTTCCGTCTCCACACTCAGAGATTCCTTTCCTCCCAATGTCCGGGCCACATGGCAACCAGTGGAGTCCCTGTAGCACTAAGGATAGCTGTGAGAATTGCCTTCGAGCTTGGTCACTCTTATGGGAACAGAGGAAGCAGCAGAGACACTGCTTCCCTAGCTGTCGTCCAAACACATACCCCTCAAGTATGGATGGCAGTCACCTTTGACCACAGATGTTATCTGGGCCTGCAGCCTGTCTTTGGGTGCTGTGTGGGGTTTCAAACAGGTTGAGCAGGCTCAGAGGCCAGTTGAGGCCTGTGTCTTCCAGCAGTAGGGAGGCCTTGCTCTGGACACAAGCTAGGCCTTTCTCTTCCTTGGGGTTTTCAGGTGATGGAGTCTGTGGTAAAGAACTGTGGCCAGACAGTCCACGATGAAGTGGCCAACAAGCAGACCATGGAGGAACTAAAGGAGCTGCTGAAGGTAGGTGCCATAAGTCATGAGAGAAGGTGGGGTCAGGTACAGTCCCAACTCTGCTAAGTGTGTGTGGCCCGACTGCAAGTGGGTGTGGAAGAGGAGATGAGGGAACAGTGGTGGTCCCTGTGAGTGCTCTGCGAGTCCAGCCTCTGCCCGGGAGAGACTCCTCCGGGGTCCCTGTGAGTGCTCTGCGATTCCAGCCTCTGCCCGGGAGAGACTCCTCCGGGGTCCCTGTGAGTGCTCTGTGAGTCCAGCCTTGGCCTGGGAGAGACTCCTCCAGGCTGATGTGTGTGAAGAAGACACTGTTCTTCTTGGGCCTGGGAAGGCTTCAGAAGCAGGGCATGGGGCTGTGTCTTTAAGGGCTGTGGGCAGAGGTGGTCATGGAGTGTCTGTGTGAGTAGGAGCTTGGGGAAGAGGTTTGGAGTAACACATCCGGGGTTGGGAGAGACCTGATCAGTGAAGGTACGGAAGTTAAAGTTTAGGTGTATCTGTGACAGAGTCAAGAGGACAAAACAATAGAGCTATGAGCTGCCCCAGGGAGGGTGGAGTTCACACCTTGCAGCAGAGGAGGAAGAGCTCTCAGGATCTGTGTACAATTGTCTCCAGGACCACCAAAGGGGTTGTGATGTGTGTGGTGATGCTGCTGGCCTGGTGGGTTGGGCAAAGCGATGCTATTTCACAGCATCAGGCTTTGGTCTCACAGGAAGCTCCATCCTCAGCCCATACTGAGTAAAACCTGTCTTGGGCTCTGAACTGTTAGCTGGGTCCTTCTCATTTGGGGCCTAAGTCAGACCTTGGCCAGTTTGTTGCACAGCTGGAGGAGGGCAGAGCATCCGGAGCCCTCCTTGCTGTTCCTGGCACAGGTGGCTCTGTTACCCTGAAGATATCCTTGATGCTTCTTCACCCTGTGTCATCAACGTAAGGTGTGAGGGCCTCCCGAAGAGAGTGCTGAGAATGAGACTCTGCTGTGGTGCACAGGGGCTGAGTCTTCTGTGGAGAAACATCTGGAGAGGATATCCCTGCCTCTCTCAAACGATGGCAGGAGGGAGATCTGACTCTAGTGTCTGTATCCTAAAGACCAAGGCAAAGTGTTTCCTGGAGACCAGTGGGCGCCCTAAGTGTCAGTAATGGTTGTGGACCCCAGAGAGCTGTGTCGCTGGCCAAGGTCCCCTGGAGAGATGGTGAAGGAGGTGTCGTTGTAGATGAGAAGCATGCCGTAGTGCAGCTTCTGGGTCGCTTCTGAGATTAGACTGGGGCCTGGCCTTTGTGCAGATTGTCTCCCCACAGCCTCTTCCCACTGAGACCGCCCCACCCCCTCTCTCACTCCGCAGAGGCAAGTGGAAGTTAATGTTCGGAACAAGATCCTGTACCTGATCCAAGCCTGGGCACACGCCTTCCGGAACGAGCCCAAGTACAAGGTGGTCCAGGACACGTACCAGATCATGAAGGTAGAAGGTGAGTTAGAACTGCCCCAGCTCCTCCAGGAGCCTTAGGGTTGTCTTGCTAGCCATTAAGCTAGATCATTCCAGTGATAAGGGGCACTAGAGGGTAGACTGGTCCTCCCTGAGTGACTGCAGT